TAATTATTTATTTGTATTATTTCATTATTTATATTTATATTATTATTTATATTTATATTAGAATTATTTATATTATTAGAATTATTATCAATATGGAAAGAATTATTATTTTGTGAGGATGAAGAAGATTGATGATCGGAATAAAGATTATTATTAATATTATTAATTAATTGATTTAATTCTTGTGATGATAAATTTGTTGTTGTGGATGAATTGACGAGAAGTGTCTTGATATGATTGAGTGGATAACGTGATGATATTTCAATCATGATTTTAATAAATGTATATAATAAATTAAATATAATGATAATGATGATTAAATATAGTGATAATGATGAGAATTAACTACTGTTATTATGTTTCGTTGTTTTTTTTGATAATAAAATTGTTTGATGAAAGGAATGAACGGACACGATAAATTTTACTAATTGGATAGCACACAGAGTTAATGTCCCCACAAATCCAAGATGGCATTCTTCTTTTCATCTTGAGAAGCTGCTTTTTGAGTGGTTGTCTTTTGGAAAATTGCATCATATTCATCAGCAGAATCTTCATCTTCATTATCAGATGATTCTTGTTTCTTAGTCTTGATTGGTTTAACACTCTTCTTGACTGTCTTTTTCTTTGGAGCTGTTGTTTCAGTTATTGTAGAGCTGGTATTATTACTAACAACGTTTGGTGAAACAGTTGGAGAGGCAGAACCCTTAGTAGTACCAGCATTGGATGAACCCAAATCAATTAATGAAAACTTGTCACTTAAAAATCCAAGAAGAGTATTATCAGTTGCAGAGACAGGTGTTGGAATTTCATTCATTGAAGGTGTAATTGGTGAAATAATATCACTCATAAAATCATCAATGCTTGTCAAGTTTTGTGTACTTGATGGTGACAAGGTTGTAATTCCAATTAAATCTTCAACTGTTGTTTCAGTCTTCTTCTTTGAAGTGGTTGTTGTTGGTGATGATGATGATTCATCTGCAACAACTTTCTTAACTTTCTTTTTCTTTACAGTTGTCTTTTCACTCTTTTCAGATTTTTCAGATTTTTCCTTCTTTTTCTTTTGTTGTGGAAGAGTGTCATCTTCATTAGGTTCATCATGTTGTTTTGCCAATTCCAAAAATTCCTTAAAAGTCATCTTTTTACCATCTTCTTTTTTAGGGACATATTTCAAATTAACATATTTCTCCTTGATATATTGTTCAACAACTTGAGTAGAATCTATACGTGCTGGTTTCTTTTTATCTTCTGGTAAATTACATTCAAAATATTGTTTTGCTCTTTCATTTCCCATTAATTGCATAATTTTAACATGTTTTTCATCCCACTTGTCCATTTCAGCAGATCTAACAAATGAAATGTGTGATCCTAATGAACGATGAATACCAGCACATCTCAAACAAATAAATGTACCAAAAGTAGCACTACACCAAACAGGTCTTGCTTCTGTACAATCAGCACATTCTCCATTTCCTGGTTTTTTAATTAAAACTGATAGAATTTTTCTAAATTGTTCTTGTTGTTTATCTCTATTATTTGATGAAGATGAGGCTGATGATGATGATGATGAATTACTACCACCACTTGAATGATAGGTAGGTGAAGTTGGAGAGGAATCATAATTTGAACCGGATTGAATTCTTTTCAACATTTTCTAAAGTACAATTATATTTATATATTACTAGAGTTTAATTATTATTACAAAATTTATAAGATGATGAAAAAGAGATTTTTGATGATGAAATTTCTGGCCACAACGGGAAAATAGGCTAGTGGTCGGAGTGCTATTTGTTTTTTAAAAATTTTTTTATTAAAATTAAAAACATTGTGACTCCTTCGTGCCAACTCCAGCCTTTTTTTAACAACTCCTAAGAATCAGGTTGGATTCTTCATTATGATTTCTTAATCTTGGTTGTTAAAGAATAGATGAATATTTTGAATCAAAAGACAAACACTTGTTTTGGAACTATTCTTGACGAAACTTAGTAATAGTGATATTAGTGGGGTTAAAATGTTAACCAGAATTTAAATACAATGTCTGCATCGTGGTGTAAATGCACTTCAAAATCTTGAAATAACACAGACTGTTTATAATTCTTAATGAAACCGAGTAGTGTCTTCTAATTAAAAAAATGCAACAACAACAACTATCGGAAGAGGATGATACACCATCCATCATTGATGATCAACAAGATTCTATTCATCATTATCATGATGATGATAATTTACATGAAACAAATCAAACATCCTATCTGAAACTATTTATTCAATCAGTAATACAACAAACAATTATTCTATGTTATAAAAATATTAAATATAAAGTTAAAAAACCATTTCAAACCATTTCAGCCTTTACATTTCCAATACAATTAGTAATTATTTTGTGGATTTTAAGTAACTTTTTATTTACAACTTCAAACAACGGAAATATTTCAACTATTAATAATATTATATTGGATAAACAAGAAAATATAAAAGATTATTCTATTTATGTCATATCTAATAGTGGAAGTGATGTTTTAAAAAATAATTTACTCTCAATTTTGGAAAACAAAACTCGAATTAATTTTAATATTGAAAATACAAATGCAGAATATTTAGAAAATTATAAAAATTATTTACTTTCTATAAATATTAAATCTAAAAGTGTAATTTTTACAAATAGAACAAGTTCATTATATCAAAATCAATATCAAGATTTTAAATATTATTTAGATTTACAAAAATATACAAATATGGCAGTTTATAATTCTAAAAATACTAAAAAAACATTAAATTCAATGAAAATTAATTCATTAAATTTACCAAATACACAAGAAGCAACAGTTTCATCATTTACAATAACAATAACCTATGCAATGTTATTCTCTTTTAGTATTTTAAATTTTTTTAATCCAAATTTAATTACAATTGTAACAGAAAAACAATCAAAAATTAAATCTTTTATGATTTTAATGGGATGTAATAATACTAGTTATATTTTATCTTATTTTATGTCTTGGTTTATTGAAATTTTAATTTTAATGTTTTTAACTTGTACTTCAATTTTAATTTTAAATATTTTTAAAAATTTAAATATTTTTATATTTGCAAGTTTATTAACATTATATTTATCAAGTGGAATTCCTTTAATTTTAATTATTGGTTCAATGTTTAATGATCCAAAGAAAGCATTATTTGTTTCAATGTTATTTTTCATGTTTTTAGAAATACTTTGGGTTATTTTTAGATTAGTTTTACCAATTTTATCAGAAAATACTTTTAATTATTTACGTTATTTTGTTTATTTATTTAGTCCTATTACATTTTCAGATTTAATTTATGAATTAGTTTCTAAACATGAATTTAATCAATTAATTCAAACTAATTTTGGATTATTAATTGGATATTTATTTTTAGATTTATTTTTATATATTTTAATTGCAATTTTATTTGATAAATTAACATTTGGACAAAATCAATCAATTTTTGAATTTTTTAAAAATATAACACAACAAGAACAACATGTAAATAATTCTGAATTAAATATTAAAATTGAAAAAATTACAAAAACATTTAAAAAAGATACTTCCAAAACAAATTCAATTCTAAATTTATTTAAACCTAAAACTGAAATATTAACAGTTTTAAATGAACTTGATTTGGAAATTAAAAAAGGTGAAATTACTTGTTTATTAGGTAAAAATGGATGTGGTAAATCAACTCTATTTTCTTTAATTGTTGGTTTATTAAAACCTAATGATGGTAATATTTATATTAATAATTTAAATGTTAACACTAATATTGATGATATTAGATCTAAATTAGGCATTTGTCCTCAAGATGATTTAATTTTCCAAAATTTATCAGTTTTAGATCATTTAAGAATATTTGCAATTATTAAAACAAGTTTAAATGGAAATGGTGTTATTAGAAATTTTAAAGATATGGATAAAATAATTGATTCAATTCTAAATGAATTAGAATTTATGGATTTTAAATATAAAATTGCATCAGATTTGAGTGGTGGTCAAAAGAGAAAACTTGCATTTGCCATTTCAATTATTGGTAATCCAGAAATTTTACTCATAGATGAAGTTTCCTCTGGAATGGACATTCAAAATAGACAATTAATTTGGACTATTTTACAAAAGTTTAGAAAGAATGGTAAAATTATCTTTTTAACAACACACCAAATGGAAGAAGCTGATGCTATTTCAGATATTATTCATATTTTAAAGAATGGAAAATTAGAAGTTTCTGGAAGTCCTTTGTATTTGAAAAATCATTTTGGCATTGGTTATAGTCTTGATATGATTTGTAGAGATGGAGGTGAATCTATTAGAAAGGTTGAACAATTTATTTCTAATTTCATTTCAGATCCAACCAAGTTTGAATTTGAATCAAGTGGAAATGAATGTAAATGTACCCTATCAAACGATTTACTGCCACAATTCCCAACACTTTTTAAACAATTAACAGAAAAGAAGGATGAAATTGGTTTGCAATCATTCATAGTAACTCAATCCACATTAGAACAAGTATTCTTGAAATTAAATCCAGACTTGGAGGCAGAACAATAAAATGTTTAAGGAAAAGAACAAAACTCATTTGATTGTTGTGAATAAAAATATTGCTAATCAGCCGGGGATAGAAGACCATGAATTTGTATAAATAATCACTCGCTCTTCATACAATTTAGTTAGAACAAAATCATCATTAACTTATCAATAACTATTTTCTCTGTGCTAACTTTGGATAACAGTTTCAAGGTAGCATTTATGGTTTAAAATATTTTTTTAAAAAAATTGAAATATTTTTATTATTCAAAAAGGGGAAGATATCTTTATGTGAATGATTGTTTCTGTAACCACTCACTCTTAATGTGTGGTTGAACTAATCAGGGAGGAGTTAGATATTAAATCACCAATTCCCAAGCTTACTCTTCTTAAGGCATCAGAACTGGTAGTGGATGTTAGAACTTTTCCACTTGAACTATTAGAACTTCCACGTTGATGTAATCTTTGAGTTTCTTTTCTAATCTTTTTCAATTCATATGAAATATCATCAATAGCTCCAATCATTGAATCCAATTGTTCCAAATTATCTCTATTCAATTGAGCACTCTTCTTTGCTAATTTACTGAAAATGAATCTAATTCCATATGTAAGGTAAGTCACTGCATGATTTACGAATACATGATTAACGTAATAAGGAATATTTAAACTCTCTAATTTTGGAATAACCCATTGATGTAAAACATAGATTGGTGCATAGTTTGAAACTACTAAAATCAAAAGAGAAACTACTTTGATTTCCGGATAAAAAGGTACTAGTGAATATAATACAAAGTAGAAGATATTTTCCAATGAGAGGAAGGCTGCCATCACGCACCAATACATTAACCATCTAGCTGATTCTTTAGCATTCTTTTGAGACAAAGCCTTGTAACTTTGATAACTCGCAAAAACGTTACAATTAAATCTATAAAATGTATTTCCAAATATTCCAAAGTAATATGATCATGATGATGTTGTTATTGTTATTATAATAATAGATGAATATTCAAAGGTTGATGATCATTATTTTAGAAAACGTACAATGTGAATGATCCGAGAAAACATCTCACTCCCCATGGCAAGAAGAACATTTTTTATGATTTTTAAATTTTTATTAAATTTAGCGCCAAACTGCTACCTTCATCCTTAGCATTTTGCATTTGCTTTATTATTACAAATGAGTTTCCATCCCTCCTACCAAATACCAATGAACACGAAAAACAATGGTAAATTGTAGTTCACTTTCGAACCATAGTTCAGTGTAACTGCTAAAAAGGTCCTATTAATATTGATTATTTCCTAAACAATTCGCACTCAGGAAACAAAACTTAAATAGCTCATAAAAAATGTCATTTAAACAATCATCAACACTTCACTCACTTTTAATAGATGATATATTATTGAATGTATTTGAATTTTTAGAACGTTCCTATGTATTAGATACTATTTCATTAACTTGTAAATATTTAAATAAATTATGTCATCAACCCTATAATTATAATAGATTAGTATGGACATTCTCGGAACAATATTATGAAAAATTAAAAAGAATTAAACCATACTATACAAAAGTTCAAACTATTGAAATGAGTGATTCTAATAAATTTATAGAATCAATAATTCCAGAAAAGAGATCCATTGAATTTATTGAATATTTAACTAATCATAAAGATACAATTAAAAGATTAGATTTAAATTTTAATAGAAATCAAATTGAATTGTTAAAGAAAATTATTGAAACAAGTAAAGATTCATTACAAGAATTATCTATATGTATATTCATAGATACTGAATTTGCTAAATTTGCATGTTCACAATTAAATACATTTAAACATTTAAAAGTATTGAAATTAATTGTTAGTAATAGTGTTCAAGCTGATATTATTTTATCTGCATGTGAACAAGTTTTAAATAATGGAATTTTACAAACATTTAATTCAACTATTTTATTAAGAACAGAAAATCATATTCAAAGATTTATTGAATGTATTTTAAAATCAACTTTGAAAAACATTTCATTCTCTTTAAATTGTGAACCTTTAATAGGAAATAATGAATTATTATCAAAATTAATTCAATGTTTGAGTTTTGGAAGAATTAATGTTAATATTAAATTATTTAATGTTAATTCAATTGAATTTTTAAACAAGTTTAAACCAGTTTCTGAAATTTGTAAAGAATTTAATATTTCAATTATTACAATTAATTGTTCTACCTTTGATAATATGGAAAGTCTTCAATTGTGTAATGTTTATGAATTTAGTATTGAATCTGGTAATTTTACACCAATTACAAATCATTTACCAATTCACGTTAGAAATTTAAAACTAAATTCAAGAAATTTTAACGTGCCAATTCTAATCTATTAAGAAATACATTTATAATTCTTGGATATAATAGTCTACCTAGTAATAGTATTCCCTTAAATTCCAATTATAAAAATACTAGACCTAAAATTACAAATGAAGAAATTGATAGAGTAATTGTTAAAGTTACTCCAACAATGCATAGGGAAATTAGTAAGAATGGTGGACGTGTTCATTATGAATTATTTGATGAAAATCTAATTTACATTCACTTTTCAATTCAGAAACATCCTGGATTTATTCTATTAGAAAACAAATCACCCCACTACAAGTTAATTGCACACAAATTATCAAATATTGAAATGGATAATGGATGGGAATATCGTTCTAGATTAATTTCAATTCCATCAAAATGTTTGATCAATTAAAGTTTCCAAGTATTGTGTTGAACTCATATAAATGATGGATCAATATTTCACACACAGGAAGATCAACGAGTTGTTGAGCCTTGTTGGGTTTCCATTGAAAAGTTTTAAAAAAATTGCCTCAACACCCTTTCGGCTTCTTGTTCGAAACCTCAGTTTATTCCAAGTTCATCATATTAACACCCCAACATTCTTCAAAAACGAGTGTGGCAAATAAGTTTTTTTGTCCGGACAAATGATTACCTTCCATTATTGTTAATAATCAACATTTTAAAACAATCACACAACAAATTATGGCAACAAAAGCTCTGGAATCATCTTCTATTCTATTTGATACATTTCGCATCTATTCAATATCGTTAACTAATGAAAATGCATACAATAATACTTACAGTAATACAACTACCACTACTAACGTAACATTGTGTTATTCAATTTTAAGTCAATTAGGAGATTTTAGTAAAGATAAAGGAATAATTGAATATGGAATATGTCCAGAAACATGGTTATCATCATCAATATCTATTTTATGTCTAACTCTTTATTTAATTGTTTTAGTTTTATGTGGAATTGGACTTTTTTGGAAGAGAAACAGTAAACATATCAAAGCAAGACATCCAATTTATATGATAATGACTTTATTTGCAAGTTCATGGTGTATTATAACATTATGTCTTCGTTTTGCTATTGGAAGAAAATATTTCAGTTGTGGAATTTAATTACTTTCCTATTTTGCTTTACCTTCTGCTGTTATTATGCCTTCCATATTTAGATTATTCAGATTATATTACATGCATTGGATGAATTTACATAAAACTAATATATTTACTATTAACAGTAATGAAAATAAGAAGGAAAAATCATTTATTATGGAAAAGTCAACATTTCAAAATTTAAAAAATGAAAAATCATTACAAAAAATTCAAAGTACTGAATCAGAATTATCAACAATAGATTCATCCAATACCAATAACAACAACACTAACAATAATACTCCTAATACTATTGATAATGATACCACTTTTAATAATATTGGAAATGATAAATTTAATGAAATACCAAATGATCATCAGGAAAATATATATGATATAATGGATATGGAAGATACATCAACAACAAATACTGCACAAGATCAAGATTCTATTTCTTGGATTCATCCAAATGAAATTTTTGATTTTCAACAAAACAATAATTTACAAGTTGGTGGAAAATTTAATATTTTCAATAGATTTTCCAATGAAAAATCTCACAAAATTATGAACTTTCTAGTGAGTTACAAATTTATTATACCAGTTTATGTATTGGTTTCAATTGTTCATATATTAATATTTATTCTATTGGGTGGAATTGAATATGGAGTGAGTTTGAAGAAATCTCCTTTGGAAGATAAGATATTTGCTACAGAAGGAGGTGGAATTTTTGTATTCAATAGAGGTTGTAGTAGTACAACAAATGTTTTAATCATTGTTGCAGTTACAACAATATTTTACATGATATTTGAATTGATTGGACTAGTTTTATACTTTTTCACAGATAAGGATACATATTTTATTAAAAGGGAGGCAATATTTATAGTAATTATTCAAATATTAACAATAGTATTATTTATAATTTTTGCCTTCATTCCAGTTTTTAAATATTTACTGGATTTTTTTATTCCATATGGATATTTATTTATTATTTATTCATTTACAGAAGTAATTGTAACAGTTTTACTTCCAATTATTTATGCAATTAGATATGATAGAAAAATGAGTTTAATTATTGAAAATTCTGAAATTAAATATTTCCTAATTCAGAAAAAAACATTTAACATGCTTTTAGATTTCGCTAGAAGAAGCTACGCACCTGAAAGTATTTTATGTTATAAACATATTGAAACATTTAAAAAATCAGCTAAAAAGAATAGAGTTAAAATTGCTTTACAAATTTTAAATACCTATTTAAAACACGGCTCACCATTAGAGTTAAATTATCCTAAATTGGTTGAAACTCATGATGAAATATTAAACTCAATCCAAAATCAATCAATTTCAAGTGGTGTGTTTGATAAGATTTCAATTCATTGTATGAATGATATGTTAGATTGTTTTGAAAGATTAAAATCTCAAAATATGGAGGCTAAAAGAATTGTTCAAGAATGGAAAGAAATTAATTTAAAAAAAGATCTCAGTAAGAATGGACAATAACAATTTATTGTTGTTGATCTCTGTGATTGATTAATCTTTCTTGTGAAAGGAATAGTTGATCCATAACTAAATCATGAAGTTTGTGGTATAATTTGGCTAACACAAAATAAATATGTTTTGAAACAATCCAAAAAACAAGAGCAGGATAGCTCAACACAAACAATTGATATTGAACATATGGAGTAACAAAGAATGGAACAACTAACTTGGAAACAATAAATGGTAAAGTCAAGAAAAGAACCAAATTATACACAAATGGTAAAAGCACTCGATTCAAAGGTCTAATAAATTCAACATTTCTGAATCCATTTGTCTTGATGCGGGAAATTTCTGTGTATATTTCTTCCGTACCTGGCAAGAACTTAACCACTTTGTAAGCTACAATTGTGAATAACAACCCAGTTGACCATACCTCTGCCAACATAAGAACAGGTTGAGAGCCACTCAAACTATCATCTAGATCCTCAGATTCAAGCTTGCTAATAAATAAAGTGGTTGGTACCACTACAGACATATGTACAGCACCACCTATGAGTAATGGGATCAACACAATAGAAAATACTCCCATAATAAATGATTTCAATACAACCAAAGTCCACTTGATAGCTTCAGTAAGTGATCTGTGAGTATAAACATAATTGACCAAATAAATAGCACCACTGATCAAGTAAAATCCAACAATGTAAGTATAGAAATGATGATTTTTCAATTCAGC